CGAACCCCCGCCGACGCACACTTGATATCTATGGTCGGCCCGCAAAATTTGGGCTACCGATATCCATGCTGAAAATTCCATACTTGTACCAAAAATACAGTGTGGAATCAAGCTGTAAATCAAAAATATAAAAAAATATAGAAAAAATATATACCAATTTACTATATAGCGAAACCACTAGCCAGTTTTTTTCGACGGGTATTTGTCCTCACATCCGACCTGCTCTGCCCTGCTGGTCACGATTTCCCACTGGAAGATCAAGTAAATACCTGCCTGAATACGGCCAGTCACCAGTAGAGACACTGGAGATTCAAAAACTTCGCAGACAATATACGTTTAGTGTCACACAAAATCGAAGATCTACAGGCGTAAACCAGAAAGTCAACAGATGAATCAGTGGAGCAAGCACTTCAAGTAATGAATGCAGAGAAGACAGAGGTAATGTGGATACTTAACCATCAATAACAAAAGTGTCTAAGGTAAATTCTCTTTTTCACTTATCTAGGCAGCATACTTTCAGCTATAGACAGCTTGAATGATGATGTAACCGGTGAGATGGGAAAAGCGAGATAGGCCAACATTGGTCTGGAGTCAATGTGGAAATCTTTTGCACTAAGTAAAAATAGCGCATCAATGGCACCGGGGATAGAATGCTCGCCACCAGCCACGCATCATGTGGTTCTGGGTTCTATCCCCGACCACCAACGTACTTCTTTACCTCGCCAAAACCAGTAATAAGACTGGTTAAGAGGGAAGGTTGGGCATGAGGCTGACTATCAACCCCACCGCATAAAAATAAACACCACCACTGCTACCGCAGTTTCAAAGCTCTAGTTTTAGGCAACCTTATGTTCCACTAGGAAATTAAAGAAATAAAAAAAGTATTATTATGTACTCGTCGCCAAATTATTAATTATGTACTGGTCGAGAATTTAATAGTCCTGACGCAAGAAAGACGGAAATCAGAAGATCACTAGGTTTGCAATGATACTTCTATTTTTCCAAACACAAGGAGAATCAAATGTATATATCACACAATAGTGTGAGAGCAAAATATATATGAATGTCCAACCAAGTGTGTTAACAATCAATAAACAGTCTTAAGATGAATGGCTAATTATAATGGAGTATCGATCCATATATACATAGCAAAATATAGCAGACATGTCAACAAACACACATATTATATATAATATAAGGGGAATATACATTGCTAAAGGAGACATGTTCATCAAAGTGAAATGGTCACAGACTAAGAGAGCAACAGAAAGAGAGAGACCACCATATATATATATATATATATATATATATATATGGATACATATCAAGTATAAAGAACATAATTCGGATTTTCAACACCAGTGTTAAACCAGTCCTCCTACATGAGTCAGGGACTTGATTCGTCACAGAAGGCATTTCCAACAGGATGTTGCAGACTTTTATCAACATCTGCTTTCGCCCCATCCTGAAGATCAGATTGTTGGAGAGGTTTTACAAGAAGAATCTCTGGCAATAAACCAACCAAGATTTTATAACCCAGAAATTATGCCGAAGAAAGTGCAGATGAGTTGAATACAAGCTGAAGAGACTGTTCAATAGTATTACGTACCAGTTGTGACCTTGAGTGAAGCCCAGATGGGAAAGAATAGTTTGACGGTGGTCCAAGGGTGATATGGAGGAGGACTTGTAGTGAAAAAATGAAAGCCTATAGGTGATCGCGATGCCAGCCTAAATGGACTGTAGAGAAATAGTGATACGCTGCTGAGGCCGTGTATCGTAGACACCTAGAGTAGTAGGCGTCACAATGCATTCCAAGGAAGTAATTTTCAAGTTAAAATTAGTGCGAATGTCCTGTGTATCACATTTCAGTGTAAAAAACATGTTTTTTTAATCCTCGTCATCATTTGCTTCTGTCGACAGTTTATTCAAAACCTTATTTCAAATTTTCTCACCTCATTACAAGAACATTAAAATATTATTATTCTCTTAGGTGCAGGGTCGAACATATGCCTGCAGCAGTACATCACCATTCCACTCTGTTCTCCACAGTCTATTTTAAGCTTGTTCTATCATTCTCCATCAGCTTTCATTTCTTCTACAAATAATCTGTGTAACCTAATAGCCCTGATTTCTATCTCCTGTAGAGTCAAAAGTACGTACTGCTAACGAATCTCTAACTAGGACAAAACAACTGTCCAGTAAACTTTCCAGGATGTCTTGAACCTTGCCTAGTTGATCAAACAGTTTTAAACCAGGCAAACAGAAGTAGGGTGCGACCAGTTACCCTACACCACAAAATCATTCCAATTGCTACAGAACCTTCAAAGCATAAGAAAAAATTACAGTAAAGTCAATCTATTAAATAAGAGCTGTTTCATTCCCTTTTATTGTCATCTGTTGAAATGCTACTGCTTACTTATGAACCCTTAGGTCTTTTTCAAGTTCCCGAATAGTTACTAATTCTGACGTGTATAAACAGCTTATTTGGTTGCCATGTGAATAATGTATGCCCACTGGCCTTATCATCGCCAGGATAATATTCTTGCCATAATTCCGTTTAATTATATTGTACAACGTTTACTTAATTAATTATATTTTTAATGTTTATCTTTGTCATTACTTGTTATGAAGTCATCTGGTGGATGGTTACCGGCGGTGGAATCCAGAATGACGTGCATTTCGTCCTATTTGGGACTCGTCTACCAGATGGATGTATCTGCATTCCTCAGTGAGTGAGTGGGTGATGTTCCTACCACCAAGGCTCAAACCTAGTGCTCATAGTTTCAAACGCCAAAGCGTCATCCACTAGACTATTTGGGTCACGAGACAGGTTTCATTGATTATCGAATTCAGTTTAGACTTTCACGTCAATTGAATGCACTGAAGTGATCGGTCTCAAAAAGTGGTTCTTGTAGATCAAGTGGTGTAATGGACAGCGCATCGGTGTTCGAAGCTATGGGTACTGGGTTCGAGCCTCGGTGAGAACATCATCAATCACTTACTATGGAATACAGGTATATCCAGCTGGAGAACGAGTCATAAATACGACAAAATGAGAGTCCTGACTGGATTCTACTGCTAGTCACATGATCCACCAATTAACTTGTAATTACGTGCCCAGAAATTGTCGAAGCATCTGTACAAGAAGCGGACATGTCAACTTGAGGTGGAGGACTTCTGTCCAATCAATCGATGGGAAAATCTAAAGCTGAATTAAAAACATGTTATTATTGTTCATAATCACGTCACCAATTATAACCACACAACTTTGGAACTTGAGTTTTATAGTTTTCTTTATTGCTTCTTTATTTGTCGTTGTAGGGGTAGTTGAATTTTCCAGATGTCTGGATGGACAGGTCGTTCCTATTGCATGTATTTGCAGTTGATTTCATGGTGAATAAAGCTTCCGTTATCAATCTCTCCCTTCACCTTGCTGTTACATTAGATTTTAAGACTTTCATCCTCTGGATCCTGTGGAGCCGATTAAACAAGACAATTTAGTTGATCTAATACCCTGCCTGCGATGATTACCAGGTCAGATACATAGGTAAAAGTAGTAGGACGGAGTCAGTCATATTGGCAGAGCCCAGAATTTAGCAAAACTTAAATTAGTTGACCCGAATAAAAACAGAAATCTGGAAAATAGTTCAGCTATACCACTCACTACATGAAATTACACACAATCAACCATTCAGCATAAAATGGCCAGAAACAATAAGTAACAAGAAACTCTGGCTAGCGATAAACCAGCGGAGAGCCGATTCTTCAACCGAAAGTATGTAGAAGCCAATGGAGATGGATAGAAAAGGCATACGTTGGGTAGATGAGAGATTATGAACAATGGAGTGGCTAGTCAGCTGAAAAGGGCGACAGAAATCAGAACAAAGTTTAGATGTGTTATTCAAGCCCTATGTTCTATTTAGAACTTAAGGGAAATAATAATGACAAAACTTGATCGTAACCAATATCATCTGAAGAGTCATTTGGAGTCGTAAAGGAATGAATAGTTTTTCGGTACTATTTTAAGCCTCTTCAGTAGTGCGCCGCACCATGATAGTACTGGGGTGAATTCGAACCCGGAACCTTATTCTGTTGCTTTTACATTAGCCAAACTGTATGCCACTACTTTTGTTCACGGCATTATTCCACAGAGTTGAAGATGGTTTTCTTTTATAAACATAAGATCTAACAAAATGATGGAAATTTTCTTTTCGATAAATGATTTTCAAATACACTGTACAATCGCATGTATAATTCAACAGAAAATTCGTAAAACCAAATCAAATACCTGAACTTATGTTCCAGGAACAGTTTTTACATAATATGAAGTATCATCTAGAAAGGAATGGTATTACAGAATGAATGTATAAACGACCTAATCAATCTAAACTGATAAAATTGTTTAAGGATAGGAGGAATTAGGTAAGGTGTTTAAATGGTATTTGTATTAGAAATATAACAAGTAATATATTTGATTCAATTTTAGATTTTCTCATCGATTGATTGGACAGAAGTCCTCCACCTCAAGTTGACATGTCCGCTTCTTGTACAGATGCTTCGACAATTTCTGGGCACGTAATTAGAAGTTAATTGGTGGATCATGTGACTAGCAGTGAAATCCAGTCAGGACTCTCATTTTGTCGTATTTGTGACTTGTTCTCCAGCTGGATATACCTGTATTCCACAGTAAGTGATTGATGATGTTCTCATCGAGGCTCAAACCCAGTTGCACAAGAGGTGATGGTTCTTATGGCCCAAGTGGTTTAGTGGATAACACTTTGGCGTTTGAAACTGTGGGCACTGGATTCGAGGCTCTCTGATGGGGAGTGTAGTTACTTCCAGATGACGAGCTCCGAATAGGACGAAATGTGCACCCACCAATTAACTTGTAATAATAAATTGTTTTCGGAACTGTGGCATCCAGTAAATAATAATAATAATACTGTTTCACTCATCGTGTGTGATATATCTACTAAACAAACTAATATGGAATTATCATAGCAATTTTGATTTATTTATTGATCTATTCCTCTGATCTTGACTTACCTGTCTACCTCTGTGTCTGTATGTGTGTGTGCCTGTATGAACATGTAAACATACCATTTGAGTACATCTTACTGGTTGATTGTGCAGATTACAAACACGCACACACACACAAACGTAGTGAGGGTATTAACAAACGGGCCAACATTGGAAAAAAGATAATTTAAAAAGGAGTTGGGATTTAAAAAAGGCACATAGACGAGTTTCAAGGCTTTTATATCAAATAGTAATAGTACTACTATTACTATTATTAAAATTATTACTACTACTACAACGACCTCTATTACTGTAGTCGGAATTTCAGTGGAATGGATGGATTTACTGAAGTCTATTTTATGATCGATAAGAGAAGAAAAGGTAAGGCATTTTGAGTATCATTAACACCAATGTCAATAATTTATAATGGAGAATAGAGTTCTGGATAGTGTGAAGCATAGATCTTTAGAAGGACATCACTATTGTATTGTGTTCTTTGAAGTCTTTCGTCGTTTACCACTCGATGGCCGGGTGTATGGTGTCACCTAATGGTCTTCTCAGCATATTTGATTCTATCGATTTCTATTTCCTTGAGTATATATATGTTGGATACTAGGCTGTCACTTTGTCGTTTTTGACCAACTGGTCATGAAATTCTGCAGCTGACTCTGTTGGAACTACTTTTCATGACGCGTGCATCAAGTTCTAGACTCATTTGGAAGGACTGACTTGACTGATATCAGTGTGAAAAATTTGGTTGATGTCGTTGTTTTTACGGAGTACATCAGATCTCCTCACTGATTCTACAGTAATGTTGCAGTGGAATTTTATTCAATATGAAAAAAAGAAGACATTCAACGAAGAGACTCTCTCTTCGACGGTGAATTCATTCATATAGCTAGCTGTACAATCACATTTATAGACAGTTATTTTGTGTGCATGTGTGTTCATGATCTAATATAAAAAAACAAGGTTAATCAGATAGCAACTAAAGTAAGTTTGAGTTAGTTAGTAAGGTAGATGACGACGTAATATAAATGACTAAAATCTTTCAACTTAGGTGAGAATAACAATAGAGGTAATTACAGGTAGAGACTAAGTAGAGGTGGGCTATAGAATAATGCCATCAAAAGTAGGACTAAAATAGAGCAAATAAATTGGATGACGTAATGGAAGTAATCACTCTTAATACCCGACAGGTAAATTCTATTTCTTTCTTTCTTCCTTTCTGTCTCTTCATTAGTATTATTTTGCCTTTACAATTGTAATATTTTACATTTTCAACTTTCCTATTCTCTACCCCCTACACGATTTAATTTCTACACCTCAGTACCACTGTTACTGACTTGACCAACGCCAGTTATTTATGCTACGTCATCCAATTTAGTTGCTCACTTTTAGCCCTAATTTAGATGGCATTATTCTCTGCCCTACCTCTACTCAGTCTGTACCTGTAATTTCTTCTGTTGCAATCTTGACCAAAGTTGAAACTTGAACAAGGCATTAAGAAGACAAATTTCGCGAGATGATATCATCGTCATTTCGTAGTTTTTTTACAACCGCTTTACAACTAACATGGTTAACAAGAATAAAATAAAATAAAGTTCATGACAGTTACTCAGTTAAATAAAAACAAAAATACATACTAATGACCAATCATATTAAGATATGTCATGCAGTTCAGGGTAGGCGAAGATTGAAGTCTACTGATTTTTGTACACACAGTTTAGGCTGTATGTGAGGATTAATCCAAAGTGCTTCCATTACCTTCAATAACCGACCTTGAATTAGAGTTATGTGATGAAATAATTGTGAAACAGTCATTAATATTGATTTTGTGACCAGACATTGATAAGTGTTTTGCAATGGATGATACTGGATTTCTATTCAGATTAATTACATTGGGATTTTCTATATGATTTAGTAGCCATTTTGGAACATGTTCTTTTCGACGACATTGGAACATTCTGTTAGTTCTACCTATACAGGTGTCACCGCAGCTGCAGGTGAACTTGTAGATACAGTTTGAAGTAGAGTCCACAGAATTTCGTCCTTTAATCGTAGGTAAAGGGATCGAAAATGTTCAGCAAGTGAGAAAAAGAGATTCGGTGGCGTAGAATGTGCGTTTGATGGCTGACCGAATTCTTTGAGCTAGCTGTCAACTGCATAATCTGGTCACCTTTGAATTGTAAGTTAATAAAGATAGCTTTCTTTGGCATAGAAGCTGTCTTTTCAAGATGTGGTCTATCCTTACCGTGACAATTGATGAAGTTTTCTGGATAACCATTAGCTAATAGAACTGAATGTATGTGTCGAAGCTCATCCATCAATGTGTCACTCGTGCATATTTTTCGGGCTCTTGAGAACAGGCATTTTACTAGGGAACGTTTATACTGGATAGCAACATTTTAGTCAATTATATTACGTCATCTAACTTACTAACTAACTCAATCTTACTTTAGTTGCTGTCTAATTAATCATTCTTGTATTACCTAATTGATTAATTATCTAAACTTGACAAACCTCATGTACGCACACACACACGCACATCAATAACTGTATATAAATCCGGTTGTACAGCTAGCTATGTGAATGAACTCGCCGTCGAAGAGAGTCTCTTCGCTGAATGTCTTCTCTTTTTCACATGACTCAATGGGGATTTTTAAGCTACTTTTCCATATTAGATAAGTTTACTCGATATTTGACGCGCACACACACACACACTGATGAAACAGTATTAATTATTGGATAACCTGTTGAGCGAAAATTCATTGATGTGCATAATCATCACAATAATGGATTCACACAGCCTGATAACTTGCTTTATATAGCTCTGCTCCATTATGTAATTTTAATTTTTTATATATTCGGGATTTGTGTTACATCACTTCGACTGGACATGTGTAGTGTTCATTCGATGAGCAAAGATTCAGTGATAAACCTCTTTTCAGCTAACTACATTACTAAAAGTTGCCATATCCTACTATGTTGTATGATTACATGCAGGTGAATACATTTCAGGGGCAGCCAGTCAAGATCTAGGTAAACTTCAACGTTCTAATGATGTAACTGACCTCGATCTACTAGTTTTATTTATGTGAGCAACCTCAGTTACAGCCATTACATGGTGTTTGGTAATATAACTAGATTTATGAAGTCGTTAAGACAAACACACAAAGTGTATCTCTAAGTGAATTGGATGGTTTAAATACCACCATAGTTTTAGCCTCTTTCAAAAATTAACAGTGCTGTCCGCCAGTACTTTAATTTACTATCTATTCCACATAATGTGATTCATCCTTTATAACCTATTATGGATAAGATTTTATTTCGATGAATCACACAATGTCTGTTATACAGTAATATTTACTGATGACCACGTTTCGAGCACGAATTAGTGGCACTCATAATCATATCAAGTCACTACTCACACAACTCACTTTCTTGCTTCATTTATATGCATGAGTAAAAATTGATTAGACATTTGAATAAAAATCAATATAGCATATGGTACATTGAGAAACAATAATATGAGTGTTGTCAATCAAGTACAATCAGATGGGAAATAAGACGAGTGTTTTTATAGTCAAAATAGGTAACTTGTTAGAATGATGTGATGTATTTGAATTGAAATAGGATTTTAAGACTATTCATTATCCTCCTCTGATTTTATTGACTGGTGGTAATAATATCTTCCACACCTGTCTCTGGTATTTGCATTGAGTCATTTCTGTTGCATATGTTGTGTTAGATGTAGACTCGATGAACAAGGATTCAGTAATCAACCTCTCTCTATCTCCACCTACCTAGATTACTTCTTAAAAATTTAACCCTCTCCATCCCTATTGTGTGGTTGTGTGCTATTGTGTGTAGTGCGATTACTGTGTTTGTTTTCTGAATTACTTATCTTCGCTTGGTCAATCATTCTTAGCTTTGCTAAATTCTTATGTTCCGACAACTTGATTACTCTGACCTACTAGTTTGACTTATATAGCTGACCTCACTCACAGTTACTGCAACGTATTTTGTAAATTATATGACTTTGTCTAATTGGATCAACCGACAGGATCCTTCAACCTAAAGAGCTTGTCCTATGTGAGTGAGTTTGTAGGTTTAAATGCCACCCTAATTCTTGCTTTAGCAAGAATCCTACGTAGGAAGGGTTTCAGATGTCCCCTCCTTATATGGTATAACAGTAGATGTCTTATATTCTCTCTTATTTATTTTATCATTACTAGTTTCACAATTATTTTTATAACCTAATTGAAAGGATAACACTGGTAACACTACAGATTTGAAATAATCTCCTTGGTAATTACAGCTTTTGGGCATTAGTCGAAATGTTTGCAAGGTATCACATGTATGAAACCTATAAAAGATTTATGCCTAAATTAGAAATATTAGTGTAATTTACCATAATTAGATAAGATGCATCAGGTAACTGAGTGATTTCTTTTTCCCTCATATTACTTAAAGCCTTCAACACAGTTAATTAAGCTAATATAATAGATATCTCAAAGTTCTAATGAGAAGTTACAACCGGTAGTATTATTCACCTTGACAGCGTGGAATAGTCGATTTGTAATAGCACCATATCATGAATTCAATCACACTGGATGAATGCTCAGTGAGCTGCCAGTGTAACGTGAAGGTCTTGATTCCGATACACAGTGGTATCATGATTATACACCGATGAAGTTGCCTAAACTAGCACGAAGCATCTGCATGGTGCTAACTGGTGTTTTAGATTGAATTGAAAACCACAGAGTACTAGAGGATTGTTTAGTTCGTGCTTGGAACTCTTCAACAGATTATTTTATTTCTTTACTTTCCCTAGTGGAACATAAAGAGGTTTCAAGCAAGAGTCTTGAAGTTTCGGTAGCAGTGGTGTCTATTTATTTTTACGGAATGGGTTTGCTAGACTCCTTCCCAGTCTTATTACTGCGTTAGCAAGGTAGAGGGTGCGCCAGCCAGAGATAGAACACCGGATATTATGAGACGCGGTTGGCAAGCATTCTACTGCAGTGCCACTGACGTGCTATTTCAACAGTACTCTCCCATAATTCCACGGGGGGTTGGGTTCAGAGCCTTCATTTTGCAAAGTCCGCCCATTGACTATATAACCATGTGGACCGAATCCAATGGCCAATGAATTCTGAATTCTGTCAATCTGGGATATATGTTTACTTATGCAGGTGAATCTCGTCTTTCACTTTTTGAATATTGAACCATTGTTTTAAAATAAATCTTCGTGATACATGTCAGTACTGTATCAACTGGTTACTTCATAGAAAGAAATAGGGTTGTCCACCAAGATCTTGTATAATATTTTCTTTATAACAATACTTGAAAATCAATGAGATGCTCACCAGCAACTGGTCTTGTTCAGGTAGGTTCTAGTTGGATGTCATGACCAGTAAGGTGCAGCAGGTCGGGTGTGAGGGCAAATACTCGTCAGCGATGACACTAGCTAGCGGTCGCCCTATATCGTGAATTTTCAGAGGTTGGAATTCATGGACTGGCCAGTGGATTGGATCCCAGTAGCTTAATGGTCTACGAGCTTGCTTGCTTTCTGGCTTGTCGCTGGAAGGTCCTGGGTTCCAACTGTAACGGTGGATGCGTGCTTCTAAAGAGTCCCAAATTAGGACCAAACAGCTGACTGTCCAGTAGTACTCCCTGCAAGTTTTCCATTGGTCCTCTAACCGATGTCAACTCATGATGAAATCCTATAATCAATAATATTAGTGATTTGAAACTTGACATTTTTACACTGCTGTAGAATCCAACAGTGCTGGAATCGTTTAGAGATGTGAACATCGTGAGTTTTATCTAAGTAAAATCAATAGAGAAATTGAATGAACATGAAACCTGATAGTTTGGTTTTCTGAAATTTTGGATATGCATCGGTGATTGATTGTAAAAGTTGAATTGAGGTAGACATCCACATGAAGAAGTCTCTGATGGTTTATCAAATCTATAAAACTTGACCACTATAGCAGTATGTCATTTCATAACAATTTAATTCTCTTACACAGTTGTTCTTTTATTCCTTCACGTTACCAGTGGAACATACGGAGGCTTCATGCTAGAGGCCTGAAGTTTCTGTAGCAATGGTGTTTATTCTTACAGGATGGGGTTGCTAGCCAGCCAAACCTGCCGAACCTTTCCTCTCTAACAGCTCAATTACCGGCTTAGCGAGGATAAAGGATTGCGTCGGTGTCCGGGAATCGAACCGTGGAACATATGCAAGGTCGGCGAGCATCCTAAACACCGTGGCACCGACGCACTTATCACACAGTGGAGTAATATTATTTACTGGATGATAAAATGTCCGCTCATCTGAGTGGACAGGTGTTGAATCCCTCCTATTGTGTGTATTCTTAGCAGATTCAGTGAATAACGCTTCACTTATCAATCTATATTTGTTTGTTTCAGTACGACGTATATTCTGAGGATAAAAATTATAACCTGATTTATTTTTCAAAAATTTATTTAGGATGGATTACTATGCCAGAACTGCGTAAATATACCGAAGAGAATGATGTAGAGGAGACAATGCTTGATGTAAGTTATAAGTGTAACATTCTTTTTCTTTCCTTCACGTTCCCCAGTGAAACATAGGGCTTCAAGCTAGTTGCTTGGAGTTTCTGTAGCATTGTCTATTTTACAGAATGGGATTGCTAGCCTCATGTCCAACCTCTGGCTTAGCGAGGTAAAGGAGCGCGTCGGCCGGGAATCGAACCCCGGACCATGTGCATGATCGACGAGAGTCCTAACTGCTATGCCACTGACTCACATAAGTTTAATATAGATTATGAATATTGTGATTGGACATTCATCAGTGCCTAGTGTAAAGTGTGTTTGTGTGTCTAGTCTCCTTTGTTTGGTGCAAACTGAATTCTATCACATCAGTCAATTCCACATTAGTTTGTTTATCGGATTTATCACACACAGTGTGAAACAGTATTATTCACTGGATGACAAACAAGGTTTCGAACAAAATTTATTGTTCACAATCATATCGGGAATTATAATCACACAACTTCGAAACTTGACCTTTATGGTTTTCTTTGTTCTCTCCAATTTGTCGTACGCGTGGTAGTAGAATTTTCCAGATGTTCCACTGGAAAGTTGTTGAATCATTCCTATTACATATATTTGCAGTTGATTCGACAAACAAAGCTTCTGTTATCAGTCTCTCCCTCCACCCTGTTATATCTGATTTCACAACTGTCATCTTATCCGATTCTGTTGTGTGGTTGTGTGTAACTGCATGTGGCGTACTGCTATAGCTGAACTATTCTCTAGATTTCTTATCTTACTCGGGTCAACCAATCTAGATTTCGCTACTAGGATTTTATGTTCGGCTAGTCTGACTGACTGCCCCTGTTCTACTAGTTTGACCTATGTATCTGACCTGACATTCATCGTAGGTAGGGTATTAGATAAACTAAATTATTTTGTTTTAAAGGCTCCACAGGGATTACTTATTGCACATATATTCACATGAGTCAAGTTTGCAATGTGGCCAGCTATCTAGATGACTTGACATCAAGTTTGCAGGCGCGCCTTGCTGACTGACTGGTGAGTGAGTGCCAACTAGCACAAAACCTAGGTCAAGCAAGGCTTCCTGTAACTGATTGCCTTCAACAATCAGTCTATCGAATATCAACAATAGATTTTGAATGTTAATTAACTCTAAGATTTGCCTCATTATGCGTCAATATATGTCAAATCATAAAACCGTAGTTTAAAAATATGAAGTTAAGTGCTTGAGAGTGTTAACAACTTTGCTCAGTTGATAAATTAAATCAGCTGAACCTCCGCATGGATAAGAAAGGCTCATGTGTGACGTCTGCCGAATTAAATCAACATTTGGCGTGGATGTGTATCCGACTACTGATGGAAGGAAAAGTGTATAGTGCAACACTTTTGTCTGTTCTCCTTGGTCGTTGAAAGTGGAAGATATGAAGCGGCTAGTTGTCTTTCAATACAAATGTTTGCAGTTTCTTTCGTGTGATGAATAATATTCAGGATAGGCTTAGAGTTTTAGGTAAGGAGGGTAGGTCAGTTGATTCGTTTGTGAAACTGTGTCCATGGAAATGGTTAGGACACATATTGCACGTGCCGAATTAGGCCGGGAACCAATTAGCCGTAGTGAGATCAAAACGTGACACTAGGCTACAAAAAAGTTTTTTCTTCACGTTCCAAGTGGAACATAGGGCAGCTTCAAGCTAGTGGCTTGAAGTTTCTGTAGCAGTAGTGTTTATTCTTACAGGATGGGGTTGCTAGCCAGCCTCATGCCCAACCTTTCCTCTCTACCAGCATTATTTCTGGCTTAGCGAGGTAAAGGAGTGCGTCGGTGGCCGGGAATCGAACCCCACACCACATGGGGCGTAGTCGGCGAGCGTCCTAACCGATGTGTCGCCGAGGCACTTCTAAGCTACAAAGCCTTTGATAATTGGTTTACGTCACGTTGGGGAATATAGACTACCTTTTTCGGGAACTAAGACACTTTAAAGATCAGTGATTGGAGATTTTTGATGATATAGATCAAAAGCCTTCTCATTGATGCAGATCCAGGAACACCTTAAAGACACTGAGTCCTCATGTTCATCGCGTTCTACTGTTTAAATATTCTGCCTCCCGTAATCTCTTTGACTTAGAATATGTGGATGATGAAGTCCTCCAAACTAGGTGAAGACACTGACAAAATGTAGAGTCTTCTGAACATCTTGACCTGAGCAGCGATCTTCGAATGATTAGCATGCGATTTTCTCCCGTCAAAAGTAAAATGACGCTACAGGACTGGACTACATCGACTCATTCCTAGCTAAAAGATAGGCAAGGAGTGAAATGGTTGGTTGAGCGTATTAACCACTTCAATTGTTTGGGGAGCTGCATCATCCAACGCCAGAGGGTTGATCGCTGACAAAATTTCACCACGGATACAGAAGGCTAGTTTGGTACTCGCCTGCCAACTTACACCATCTCTGGTCTAGTAGACTTGACATCCGGCTGACTGTCGACTAAAGGGCGTGTGTACTGCTCAGCAGTCCTCACCGTCCTCCTTTATGGCTCTAAAACATGGCCATTGGAAGTGGAAGGCCGACTAGCTGTCTTTGATCGCAGGTGCCTGCATTCTATCTCCCGTGTGAAATGGAATAAGAGGGTGAGCAATACTGAGGTTAGGCGTCGAGTGCTAGGTAAGGAGGGGAAATCAATCAACGAGAATGTGAAGTTACATCGATTCATACATCGATCTCCATCCTCGACGGGATATGTTAGCTGATATAGAATTACTTTGTAAAAGAGTCTGTGGTGGACAAAACAAAGTATGGGATCAGTCAATGGAATCCATAACAGTTAATTTGAGCCAGCCAGCCTCGTAGTAAGGTGTAGACTGCCTGCCTAACTGGTTAGGGTCCGCGAGATGTTAAGAAGCAATGAAGACTGTTGACAATTTGTGATGTGGCATAAAATCGTTCTCAATGGCTGGCGGAGATGCATTCATCCTTTGTGATTTACCAGTCATATCCGATAAAACTCTACTCTTCTTCCATATTACTATTCTTTTTCTCTCACTCACACTTCCGTTTATTACCTCTCTTTTGAATCTCTCTTTACTCTCTCCCTCTTGCTTTGTGTGCTACATGCGGGGATTGCGGCGACGAGAACTTCTGTAAATCTGTGCAAGCCAGTCAATTAGTCAATCCGCCTCCCGTACGTTTCTTTACATTATAATTCTATTCAATTTCTTCTCTGTCCTACTACCTATATGTGCTGTATAGAATGTGGCGGGTCGAAATGTCGCACTCCTGTAGGAAGTTCCTAGTACTGAAATTCGATCGCTTATCACAAATTCAGTTAAATTTGTTTTCTGACAGCATCTGCAATATACAATATTCCCCTTATTTCTACATAATGTTAGCAGTTTTTTCAGTAAAAATGGTCGGCAAAAATCTGGATTGTTGAAGACTTAAAAATAAGATCTTTTGGACGATCTTTCAAATATTCCATTGGTTGAATTATAAGGTACTTCTAGTTATTTATAAAGTATAGCTGCTCAACATAATTTTTTGGTCAGTTTAATTCACATTCGATTATATTTTTTAATGAATTCGGCCAAATTGTAACCACTTCAATTGACTTCATCAATAATTGATAAAGACATTTTTCATCAATTGAAGTCATTTATTGCGGTACATTAACATCCTCAAAATTGTATCACCCGTTAATCGACAGAATCCTTGTCAACCAGACTTATGGTTTGAAGTTCGATTCCTAGCCAATGCACTCCTTAAACCTCACAAGGTTTCCTGTCAGGTAGTAATCCTGTGGAAGAGAGGAAGGCTGGCCATGAGGCTGACAATCTCATTATGTATTAACACAACAACACACAAACACTACGGAAATTGTAAAGCTTCTTTCTTGGTGTAAAACTCTGAGACTGAAAATAATCATTGCCATAAGTACTAAAAAAGCTGCTCACCTCTACAACCGAACATATTTCATGATAAAAGCAGTTTACACATTTTGAATCAAACGTCAAGGTTGGTGTTAAATGGTTGGGAGTTCCATGCATGAATGGAACTGATTTCCCTTCTGGATGGACCGCACTGCTCACGTCTACTCAGTAAACTCCAGGAAACTTCGTTCTGTAGCAAGTCACTAGCAAGCATCAGTTTGATTTTCAATAGTTGGTTTATAAAGATTACATTCGTTTTTACGACTACGGATATTTATTAGCTGGAGAACCATTGCAAAAACCAGCACCGGAGTAATGGACAACTGTTTCCTCCGGCCTAGTTTGGGAATCATCGGCAGTACGCTGTCCAGTACTCCGGTGCTGGTTTTCAATGGTTCTCTGGGTGATATCAATCCATGGTCAAACTCGTATAAACAACTCTTGAAAATTATGTAATTTGTTATCTAAAAATTTACAATTCTAATGACACATCTCTGGAAATAATCATTTTGTTGCTAAGGTTGTTTGCTAGATATGTGCGTTTCTATAGGTTGAGAATGATGTCGCCGAAAGGAGTAACTTTTTGCTGAACACCTTTTCTTTAATATGACTCAATGGGGATTTTTAAGTTGCATAAATTGTTGATTGGTCACTAGGTAGTAACAGAAGTCACGTATCTTGTCTTCGTTGGTTGTGCGATGTGGTCAACAGGTTAGGTGGTTCACCAGCAATCAATATATCCAGTCGTTGTGCTGAATAGTTGAGTAGAAACATCTCAGACTTCAGCACTGAGTGACATCAGTTCAAACCTCAGGAGGGAATTCAATTCCATGAGTGCTGCAGATACACCTTGCTGATGAGTCCCAGTAAGGGCGAAACCTAGGCTTAGAGGTTCGGTGTCGCACTATCAGATGCTATGTGACCTATGGTGTTATCAGATAAGACATCCATGATACTATCTGCCATGTCACTTAGTGGGTCTAAGTCATACGACTTTCCTGAGATGATTAAAATTTCTTGGACATTTCTGGGTAAACGTTGCAACTACATATGTTTCAGCACTACCTCGTCTGCTTTATTGTGTCCGATTAACTGGCGAATGTGCCTGAGGAGCTGGGATGGTTTACGTGGTCCTAGTTCATAGCCCATGAGTAATTGTTGGATTCTTTTCTCATCTGACAAACTGGTGCGTTATATAAGGACGGCTTTTAGTTTGTCAAATTGGTTTTCTGTTGGGGGTTTTCGATGAAGTCGCAGATTTCTGTCAATACTGACGGAGGGAGTTCTGCCAGCACTACACCATATTTGGCTATCTGGGACTTAATGCCTCGTGCTTGTAACAACGGCTCAATTACCGCAAACCAAATCCTGGGTTCTGCGAAACCGTATTGCGGTAAACGGAAATCAGTGATGGCATTTATTGTGGCATTTGTCTCGCTACTAGTTGTCTGCTCGGTTGATGTACCAGACTGAGGTGACGACATTATAGATATGAGAATGTTGGTGCGAAATGGGATACAAATATAAGACCACAAACAAAATCACAGTGAATATACAAAATGGCAAAAATAAGAATATGAATATGTCAAAATAATCCGTGTCCTAAACGGGCTCACCAATTAATTTGTAGGCGACTGTTATGAGAGGTCATTAACATTACAAATATGAGAATAATAATCCAAGTCAATGAGACGTTAAATAACAATATATTACCAACAAATAAAATGCAGTAACGAGTTATAGTAATAAAAAGGGTCACTTGGATATAAAGTTTAAGTCCTCTGCTACAAATTATTTATATAATCCACGGGTCTGTCTGTCTGGATTCAACATAGAACTTGCCACCGAAGTGCACCAGTTCGAGTTGCCACCTTCCAAATACCACACAGAGGTAGACAAGAAGATGAGTGAAGAGAATCAATACAGTCTGACAAGTATAAGAGTGAAACAGAATGGGTAATGGTAGAAAGGAATATGAAAGATTAAAGAGACTGAATGCATCTGCGCTGGCCATTGACAACGATTTTGAGCCATGTCACCTATTGTCTCCAGCCATTGATTCCTAGAGTCCCGAGGCCCCAACCCAGAAGTCTGCATCTCCCTACCTGACTCAGTTTAACTGTCAAGGATTTCATGGATTTATGAGGCCATGTTTTTGTTTGGCCACCACTGGCTCTTTTCCAACCTCCATCTATATCAGTTAGCAATGCCCGTCGGGGGAGGCGGTGGTTAGGCATGCGCACCACCTGACCTAGCCATCTTAGTCTATGTAACTTTATAGCCTCGTCAATTGATTTTCCCTCTTTGCCCAACACTCTACGCCTAACGTCAACATTACTTACCTTGTGAAACCACCTAACGTAAGACAGAGATCGCAGACATCTATGATCGAAAGCAGTCAACCTTTTCATGTCTTCAACGCGTATTGGCCATGTTTCTGAGCCATAGAGAAGGATGGAGCGAACTGATGAGCAGTACACACGTCCCTTGGTTGATAACCGGATGTCACGCCTACGCCAGAGATGGTGTAAGTCAGCGAAAGCAGCTCGAGCTTTTCGGATCCGTGCTGAGATTTCATCGCCAATCAGTCCGTTGGTGCTAATACAACTTCCCAAATAGGTGAAGTATTCACTGTTGGAATTGCGTCTGCTGTAGATGCTGTGTGCCGGTTGTAGAATTATCTTTGGATGAGGATAGTAGACTTCTACAATAAATCCAAAGGATACAACACGGTGTGAGTGAAGCGAGTAAGTAGCAGCGGTCAGAGAGTAGGCGAAGTTCCCAACAGTAAAATGTATTTCCAATGGTAATGGCAGTTAAGTATATTTTAACAAGAATCGTTTTAAACAAAAATCATGTGCAATATCTCTAATTTCTTCAACTAACAAAAAGTGTACAATCAAATTGTTCCTGCTGGCTGTCTGCAACCATCTAACACTTCGAATATTTCGCTTTTGTCTCTCATTGACCATGTATTATGCATACTCTGTAAAATTTCAGTCAACATTATTTCTTGTTCATTTATTTATTATTTATAGCGTTGGCAAACTCTTTTCGATCCTGAATCCACTGGTCGTATCACTCTGGAGAAATTCTGTGATGTATTAGGCTTACAAAAAGAAGTTATGTAAGTCCCTGGAATTAGCTGTTTGTTATCAGTTAATCTGCTTATTTTTTATTTTAGAGATAATCGATATGCTATTAAAGGACATGAACTGGATGATGTGATCACTATTCAATCGGATATGCCAACTAAAATGAAATTAACAGTATGTGGTCTTGTTGATGAAGCTGTCTTAGTTTATCAGGATGACGCGGTAAGATATGTTGTTATAATAGATTGAAGGTATCCTTTATGCAAGAAACTATTGTTCTGTAATATCATTTGATAAATTTCATTATTATTGCTGCCTCATTTATTTCCTCGACGAACAAGTGGCTTCAGCTGCACGTCTCAATTGAGTTCCGTTCTCCCCCAACATTTTCACCTTGCTCCAAGTTTGCCTGCATGATTTTATCTCCTCTTCGCATGACCTCCTTCATGTCACCCTCGTAATGATGACCAACTCTCCGCTTACCCTTTGGGCTCCATTCGAGGGATGGCCTGGCGTGTGATGTCACTCACTTAATGGTTTGTTTTCTCAGAGTATGGCCAATCCAATTCACCTCCATTTCTTCCTGCATATTTGTTGCGTAGTTAGTTCCTACTGGGTTGGTTCGTTCATTGTCAGGGATCCCTCACTATTGCTGTTCCTTTCAGGTCAGCTATCTGGTCTTGAAGAGAAGAAGAGAAGAGTCCACCATTGTCGTTCATTTCACCGAGGGCCTCACGACCCATGGTGAGTTCTCTTCCTGTGTTGTCTCGTCCCAGCTTCGCATTCATGTCGCCCATCAGGATTTTGATATCGCCATTTGGGACGTTGACCATTATTGCTTGTAGTTATCTGTAGAACGCCTCCTTCTTCTCTTGTTCTGAGACGTTTGTAGGCGCATAACATTGAATGACTAACTTTCCTTCCTTTTGATTTGAACCTGACTGTCATTATCCTGGAGGAGATTGGTTCCCACTGCATGAGAGCTTTGGCTGCTGGCTGTTGGTGACATCATGATGGCCACCCCCTCGGTGTGCCCATGGTTGTCCTCTAGGTGGCCGGAATAGATTACTGTCTCTCCAGTAGGTAGTTGGCACCTTCCAGTTCCGTTCCATCTGCTATCGCAGATTCCCAGCACTTCTATTCTATACCTTCTCATTTCAGCGGCTATGTGGGCAGCCTTTCCAGTTTCGTACATTGTACGAACATCCCAGGTACACATCCTTACTTTCGCCTTCATCGAAAGAAGGCACATCGGCTGACTGGCTTCCCGAAGGCTTTCACCAGCCTGCGTCATTTCACTTCCCCGATTCCAACGAAAAGTAAGGCTATTGTTTATGTTTTTAGAATTTTTAATGTATTTATTCGTTGAAGTTTCTGTAGCGATTTGGTTGTTTTACAGGGGTGGAGTTGCTAGCGCCACGCCCCAAGGGAGCAATAATAATAATAAATAATAAATCTGGTTTCGAGTATTGAGCGAAGACAGCTGTTGATGAAAGTCTGTGGTTTATTCGAAGTGCCCTTCGTGACGCGGCACGGCGCCAAGTGTCTGATCCGTACGTATCGTAAGTAGCACTGACTTCACTTTGGATTTGAAAATTCGAATCCTACTTTCTATGCTGAGTGGTGTTGACCTGCACACAGACTTGAGAGTAGTGAAAGCTTGCTTGTCTTGCTTTCCTGATCCTCACTTTGATATTCTCATCAGTTGCGTCCGCCTGTGGTTGAAACGATGCCTCCCAGGTAGATAGGTAGGTGAAGGAGGTTGCTTCTTTCAGATTTCTCCCATTTATGCTGGCTGATTGTTTTCTGTTGTTGTTGCTGTTGGCCAGGAATATTCATCACCAAATCTTTTTTTCTCTATGTTCACATGAATGCCTATCTTCTCTGAATGCATCTTCCACCAACGTCTCGCCTTCATTTGCGTATCTTCCAGTTTGTGTGAAATAAGACATATATCATCGGCGAATTCCATATCCTTTAAGTTTGTTTTCTGTAGGTCCATTTTATGCCTGTTTCCTTGTTGCCCACCAACTGCCTGTCACATTATCCAGTCTACAGCAATCAGAAAAATCATTGGAGATAGTAGGTAGCCAGTCAGCCTTTTCTTACTCCCGTCTCCACTTCTCCGAAGGATTCTGTGGGTTTCCCGTTGTGGATTACTTGGCATGCAACATTATCATACAACTTTTGGACAAAGTGAATAATTGCTGGGGCACCTCATAGTAGCGGCGTAGTTTCCATATCGCGTCTCGATAGACTTCGTCTGCTGAAGGTTTTTCAAAGTCAATGAAGTTGAGTGAGGCAGAGAGCTGACTGACTGCTATTCCAAGCTCCGTATTTGATAAATAACATTATTAATATTGTTATTCCCTTGGGTTACGATTGGAAACAGTTCACTTATACTTTATCATATTTTCCATAGGTTCCTCTTTAGGTGGCTGCGCAACTGCTTATAAGCTTTCATCTCATCCGCACGCAATCTCCTTCAAGTCACACTTCAACCCAAATCCAACTCGTCTTCGAGCTTTCAGGTTATACTTGAGGCACTGGCACGTGATGTCACTAAAGTCTCCTGAGTGTATATTCACTTCATCCTGAGTTTTCTTCAGTATTTGTGTTAGGCAATAGATTGTTGATTGGTTTGTTTCCAGATATCCCTGTAGCGAAAACTTTCTAGTCAGCTATCTTATCTTCAGTATGGAGAAAGCGAGATCATCCGTTGAGACAAATCTGAAGCCTGTAGAAAATACTTTTAGCGAAGTGTCAAATCTCTGAAGCATACAGAATATCTGACTTAACATTTATGTTGAAAACACCATATGTTATGCGATTGCCTACAAAGAGTACTCAAGGTGTCATGATATATGAAATATCTGTCGTGAGGGACTGCATGTCGATAAATTGAATTCCCCCATAAGGGATTGGTAGGAAAAGTCAGGCATGGTCATATCAAAACATGGTATCAAATCACGAAATCTATGAACTAGCTAGCCATTTAAGAATGTTTAAACTGTCTTGTAGGGGTTCTCAGAATACGCGGAACCAATAGGGCCGGATTCAGGAGAAACAAATCATGTATTGATCAAATCGCCACTCTACGGATCATCATTGAACAAAGCTTGGAATGGCAGTCAACTCTCTATCTCAACTTCATCGACTTTGAAAAGGCCTTCGACAGCGTCGATCGAGAGGTCATTTGGAAACTACTTCGCTACTACGGGGTCCCATCGACAATTATACATCTCATCCAACAGTTATACGACAATGCTGCATGCCAAGTAATCCACAACGGGAAACTTACGGAAGCCTTCAAAGTGAGGACGGGGTGAGGCAAGGCTGTCTACTATCACCAATGATCTTCCTGATTGCAATTGATTGGGTAATGCGACAGACAACGGCAACCAACGAGGGAACAGGCATAAAATGGACTGACACAAAAGACTTGGAGGATCTGGATTTCGCCGATGATATATGTCTAATTTCCCATAAACTGGAAGATATGCAAGTGAAAAGCAACAAGTTGGCCGAAGAAGAAGCATCAAAGATAGGACTTCACGTGAACATAGATAAAACAGAGATGATGAAGATTCCTAGCCAACATCAACAACAACAACAACAGACAACAATCAGCATAAGTGGGAAGAACCTGAAAGAAACAACCTCCTTCACCTACCTGAGAAGCATCGTCTCAATTACAGGCGGAACTGACGAGGACATCAAAGCCAGAATCGGAAAAGCAAGACAAGCTTTCATTACTCTCAATTCTGTGTGGAGGTCAACAGCACTCAGCATCAAAAATAAGATCCGGATTTTCAACTCCAATGTGAAGTCAGTCAGTGCTACTATACGGATCAGAAACTTGGCGAGTCATAAAGAGCATCTCAAACAAACTACAGACCTTCATCAACAGCTGTCTTCGCTCAATACTCAAGATCAGATGGCCGACCAAGAAAGATCAGCAACATGGATCTCTGGGAGCGAACCAACCAGGAACCGATTGTGAAACAAAAAGGCAGAAAGAAATGGAGATGGATTGGCCATACGCTGAGGAAACCATCAAGTGACATCACTAGACAAGCCATTGCTCGAGTGGAACCCGAAAGGGAGCGGCGAGTTGGTCTTAAGTGTGAGGGTGACTTGGAGGAGGTCATGTGAGGAGGAGATGAAAGCATGTGGACAGACCTGGAGCAGGGTGAAAAAGTTGTCAGAAAACCGAAGGCAATGGAGGTGCGCAGCTGAAGCCCTATGTTCCTCTAGGAACTAAAGGATGCAATAATAATAATAATAATAATAGGGTAAGACATCTGATGATAAGGCTCAAAATCATTATCACTGCTCAACATACATGCACTCCTTATGATGTCCCATATTCATAAAACCCTTATGCTTTTTCATGCTAATATCCTTTCTGCCGAACGTTTGTTCTCATTGGGGTCATTTTCTTTCTTTTCCTTTTCTTTGGGTTATATGGACTGTGGTAACTTGAAGAGTCGTACTTCTGCACAAAGTAAGACATTGAAAATCAGTCATTCAGTCAGGCTAGTTAAGTTCAAACGTCTTGAGACAATGTTTGTACTGTTAATGATTAAAACTCGTCTAGTTATCATTGTAAAGAAGTGAATGCTAAACAGTATACAGTTTTATAAAGATGAAAGCTATTCAGTATAGTAGTTAGTACTTCAATGCTTTTTAATTAGTTTATAAATTGACAGAACAACTAGACAGGACCAAATGCACACAGTAGCAGTTACACTTTGAAGGACTTAACGTCATTTGAAATATATCCGAGTATATACATGTTTATGCTTAATGGATTATGTTATTATACATATATATTTGTGCGTCGGTGGCACAGGGGTTAGCAAACTCACCAACCATACAAATGGTCCAGGGTTCGATCCCAAGCCGACGCACACCTGATATCAATTGGTTGGTCTGCAAAATTTGGGCTACCAATATCACACTTGCTGAAAATTCCATACTTATATCAAAAATACTGTGTGGAATCAAGCTATAATTTAAAAAAAATTAAATAAATATATATATATGTCCAAACGAAGTTAACTTATAAAAGTTTGAAAAAATTTGGCGCTGAATATATGAGATTCATTATTATGAAAGTTGTTTTTGTATTTCCCATTGAATGAATGAAAAAGAGCAAACGATACTGTTGTTGTTTTTACTGATGTTTCGCTACTTAATGCTGCTGCTAATAGCTTCAT